ACGTTGCCTGACCATCTTCTCCTCGGTCGTCCCAATGATCTTCTTCCATTTGGCGATTTGTCTCTTGCTATTAGCACTATTCTATTTTCTGTCATTCTTTCGATGTGTTGATTCATTCCACTTTTCTTCTTTTGGTCCACGTGTTTATTTCCTCTATACCACATCTCGCTTGTATTTTCTTACTTCTTACTCTGTCTCTTAGAGTTTGGTTAATTTTTCGTAAGACTTTCATTTCTGTTGTTTCCAGCAGTCTTTGTGTTTTCGCCGTATCTGCTCTTGTTTCCGCTGTGTACGTCATTATCGGTCTTATTGTTGATTTATATATCCTGGTTTTCGTTTCCGTTGTGAGGTATTTGCTTCTCCAGATTGTGTTGTTGAGACATCCTGCTGCTCTGTTTGCCATGTTCACTTGTTTTTGTACTTCTTCTTCCACTTTGCCGTAGCTTGACAGTTTTACTCCCAAGTATTCAGTTTCCATGACTTCTTGAATTATTTTGTTATTTACCACTAGTTTACATTGTCTCGGTTCCGCTAATATCACTTTAGTTTTCTCCGTTGAGATCACCATGTTGTATATGAGCGCCGATTCGAATCTTCGAATTCTTTAATTAATCTTTGTAGGTCACCTTCATTTTCGGCTGTTATTATGGCGTCGTCGGCGTAGCATATTATTCTTATTTCCTTTTCTCCCATTCTATATCCTCTTCTTTTTTTTAATTTCTTTATGATTTCATCCATTATCAGATTAAATATTAATGGGCTCAGCGAATCTCCTTATCTAATGTCAGTTTCATATTTAATAGGTTGCGATAGTTTTCCTTTACATCTTATCATAGCTATGTTATCTTTATATATATTCTCAATGGTTTTTACTAAATCCAGTGATATTCCCTTTTCATATAATAAATGTATCGCGTCCCGAATTCTCACTCTATCAAACGCTTTCTTCAAATCTATCAGACACATATGCGTTTGTGGTATTCTAGCGACTTTTCTTTTATTTGTCTTATTACAAAAACTGCATCAGTGCATGATCTTCCTGTCCGAAATCCTTGCAGTTCCTCTTGCAGGGATATTCGTTCGTTTATTTTTGTCGCTATTATTCGTGTTGTCAATTTGAGTGTTGTATTTAAAAGATTTATTGCTCGATAATTATTGGGGTCTCTCTTATCTCCTTTTTTGAAGAACATCAGCATGATCGCTCTCCTCAATTCATCTGGTATTCTGTTCGTGGTGATTATTTTATTAATAAGAAGTTGTAGTTGTTGTACAAGATAATCACCTCCATATTTTAAGAGTTCATTTGGTATTTGATCTTTTCCTGGTGACTTTCCGTTTTTAAATTTGTTTATTCGTTAGGTTATAAAGGTTCTTCGTTTTGTTTTTTAAACATTTCTGTCAGGAAGGCCATCCATGTATCCTCTTGTATGTGTTCTATTTCAACTAATTATTTCATTTCGCCTCTTTGTTATCTTATGAAGCGCCATTCTTGTTTCTGTTCCATCTCTAGTCCTTTTGTGAATCTTTCCCAGTAATCTGTTTTTGTTTTTCTTACCAATTGATGAGTTTCAATTCTTATTCTTTTATATTCTTCATATGATTCATTCGTTTTTTCTGACTTATATTTTAGGAAAGCTTTATTTTTTTTGGTGACATTTTTGTTTAACCTCTAGTGTAGACCATGGTGTTTTCGTTGACCACTTTTTGTTTATTATTTTCGTTCCAAGGGCTTCTCGGGCAGCATCCAGAATATTTTTCGTAAGTTTTCTCCAGCTAGTCTCTACATCGCTTTCATTTTCGATATTCTCCATTTGTATTTTCTGTTCTAGCCTTTTTTGATATAATGATATTATGGAGTCATCTCTTAAATTTTCTATTTTTATTATTTCCTCTGAATTGGTTTGTTTAAGCTTGTCTTTCCATCTTTCATTGCATCTAATTTTACCAAGTACCAAATAGTGATCGCTTCCCACATTGGGCGACGTCAAACTTCTCACATCCACTATCTGTTTATGGTGAATATTTCTGTTTGTGACCACATAATCTATCATTGATCTATGTTCTCTTGTATTTTTAAACGTGTATTTGAGTTGAATTTTATGATAAAAAATGTGTTGGTTATTCTCAGATCGTTTGATGTGCAAAATTCCACCATTCTCTTTCCGTTTTCATTGATAACTGTTTCGTTAATCCTTTGTTTTATTTCTAGTATTACTTCATCTCCTATTCTGGCATTGAAATCTCCCAATAATATAAGTAATTCATGCTTCACTTCTCTTTCCACTAATGTTTGTAGCTCATCATAGAATTCTTCTTTATCGCTGTCAGGTTTGCAGTCTTCGGGTGCATATATCCCTATTATGTTAATAATTTTGCCGTTCGCCCTAATTTTTACTAAAAGTATTCTCTGAGATATGTACTGGTACTCTTTAATTTCATCTTTATATTTTTGTTTTGATCATTATTGCTACACCTTCCTTTGCTCTTTCTTGTTTCGGAACCCCACTATATATTAGTAAATATTCTCCAAGCCGCGTCTGACCTGTACCTTTCCTCTTCGTTTCCTGTAGGGCGCAGATATCTATTTGATATTCTCTCAACTCTTTTTCTATTTCCTGATCTCGGTTATTTAGGCTTTTTATGTTCCACGTCGCCACTCTCATTATATTTTTCGTTTTCCAGTTCGTCGTCCTTTTTCTCGCCTTTGTCGTTACCATCTTTTCTGTCCTAGTCCGAGGCTCTTCACCGGTTTTTTGAACTTTTTTTATTTTTACTGCATGTAAATTGTTATTCTTTTCCCTTTGTTTAATGGAGCTTTTGTTTTACACCTGTTGGAAGAATCGGACCATCCTTTGGATGGTGTTTCATGAGTGTCAAACCATGTCTCGTCCAGATAAATTATTAGTCGATATTCTGTACGGTACTTTCTTATGGAAGTTATATATTCAGTACGCCACTTTTGTAAACGATGGGACTCCATAAGCACTTGCCTTTTGTCAACTGTACGATATCTGAAGCCCATTTTAGACAAAATCACCAAAGACTAATGCGGCTACAGTTTATTTGTGTATCATCATTAGTAAGCCGTTGTTTGTGTCGTACATTGTGTCAATTTTTCGTCTTATTAAGTCCGTATCACTTTCGTCAATACATTTGGTAGAACCGGCATCCTTACGCTTCCTTCTTGACTTAATGGGATTTGATGTAATTCTTTTCACTGTGGTTAGAGGTATTTTCGTTAAATCAGATATTTCACTGGCAGCAGTATTAGCAGTAAGTCCTCTTGTAAGTAAAGAACTATATATTGTTTTTACGATTTCTCTAGCGTCAGCAGATAAATGCATTTTCTTTGCTGGAACACTGGAAGAAGCACCATCAATGTTTTTCCACGGACGCCACATAATGCTGTTTTATAGGTATAAATAGGTATAACACTTGTAACTATGTATAAACATTTGTAACACTTTCAACTAAATGAAACAAAATGTATATTTAAAAATTTCTCATCGGTTTTATATACATTTACAAATTATACAGAATAGAGGGAACCTGTATAATTATTCCAGGAAATACTTAACGATCAACAAATTTATTGTGGTCATTAAAAGATCAACCATTGATAGTGAAACTCACTGTTAAAATGTTTACAACTTTATGAAATAAAATGTATTCTAATCGTTTTTATAATTTTATACGATTTTTTAATCGTTTTTATATTACCAGGAATTTATGATACAAACAAGATAACGACACTCTACAGTAGCTTCAATTTTACTTGAATACTTACTTGCTCAATTAATGTTGACTAAGCTAGGGTACTTGCGGTCGGGTTTTATTGCAGTCATTAAGCACACCACCACCATTTTTCGTGAAATAAACTATACGATAGATGATAAGCGATAGACATGTTGTTTTTATGTCTAATGCCTGATTTTAATGCTTGATAAAAATATTTGATTTTAACCATTTAGCGGAAGGTTGTTTATTCATGGTTTCACTATATTAGGGTGCGTTGTTCATGACAGTCAAAGATGGATGTTCTAAATTAGGAAGTAATTGGTTACTTATCCATTTAGTAAATATTGTACTGTTCATTTCACCGTGATAATCTGCAGTCAAGGATTTGGAACAAAATAACAAACTGGCGTCTGAAATAAAAACTTTTGCTAAACCGGCAGGAACCCCAATAAATATTTTTTCATCATAGCCACCTGGTTTACGTGCACTTCTGCTGTTGGCATTCTGCCACATCATTTTATTTCCCCTAGAAAAAATCCACGTTTCGCCCTAAAATACAATTTCTCGTGGATATGTACTATTTCAAAACAAACAAAAGTGGAGGGAAAGCGATGGATTGGTCGAAACAAATTTTCATAACTGCATTGGGCAATGGTGTGGTTCCACAGTAGAAGAATTATTTCGCGCAGCAGCCGACAGAGAAAGGTTTTAGGAAATTGGTTAACATGATGACGGCCAACGTCTGAATACGAACACGGCACCCAAAGAAGAAGAATGCCAAATTAATAGGTTAATATCAAATTCAGTATTCCTATAAAAATATTAACTTGAATAACTCTAGTAAACTAGAATATCTTGGGCATATAATCAGAGGACCAAGATATGAGTTCCTTCGGCTAATTCTCAACGGTAAAATCGAAGGAAAGAAATGGATAGGAAGGAAGAAACTCTCTTGGTTGAGGAATTTGCGGCAGTGGACAGGTTTGACAGCGGACCAATTGCTACACGTAGCGCAATGCCGCGATCAGTATAACAATATTATAAGCATGGTAGTCGCAGACGTTCCGTAAGGATATGGCACTCTAAGAAGAAGATAAAAATACTGCTCCAACCTTGTAAACTAGTAACGCATACTTTCAATGGGACGTTTAATATCATTTACGTAGAACTTGTTGCCGATTTTTTAAATATTTTTTAATAAAGATAACTTTTTTGAAATAGCTACACTTGGACATTGTTAACTCTCGTTTTTGTTCTTGTAGGTCGTAACTCCCAAAAAGTTCAACGATGTATTTTTATACGACATGCCTCCATCGAGATGTTCTCCGATTTCAGTTTCTTCAGGAGTTAGCCCGGGTACAATAACTCGGGACCAGAACGACTGCTACGATGTACCTCCCCGGCCAGTACCAGTAGGTAATGAAAGTTTTAGGAATTGTCCCCGATGCTCTCCCGCCCCATCATGTGCCTCACCGATCAATAGAGATTCAGGTGACACATATGACATTCCCAGACAACATTTAGGTATTTTTATTTTTGTTTTTATTTTGTTTTTGCTTTTTGATGTATTGCAGTGGTTTAGTTATCAAAGTTTTGAGTAAAAAAAGTTTATACTAACGACGATATTAATGTATGCTGCCTATCTAGTACAATTCTTGTATTGGATAAACAGAATAAATCATAAAACAATTTTTTTACGTAACGTGACATATTTAAAATTAACTTTGACTGTTCTAGTTCATTTTTTTTATTTGGAAGTAATGTTTGTGTATTTTTTGTTGTAGTATGTTGTTTAACACTGCTTTACATCTTGACTAGGTTTTAATAGCTATAATTATAGATATTTTTTTGGATACTAGATCTAAATATAAATAAATTAGATAATGAGTTTAACGGACATTTTATTTGTCTATTTTGAGAGCAACCAACATTATCTAAATTTTGAATATAGGCAATTATATTCTCCATACTTAGAAAATATGTGGAATTCTACAGGGTGATTAATATCTACGCAGTCTAGCAAATATACAATTTTTTAAACGGAGCCCCTTATATTTTTTTTCAAATTTGTATTCTTCACATAATTCTTGTTCTTATAGTATTGGGTTTTGCATTACTATACAGAGTATTTAACAAGTTATGACCATTTTTATTTCGAAATCGCTATGAAATCAACACCATGTATACAGGGTGATCCTTAAGTAATTATACAAAAAGAGACCGCAGATTCTATACTTTAAAATATTACGATTTAAGCCAACTTGCTTTAATAAAATGTTTATATTAAAAAAGATACAGGGTGTTAAAAATTTTATTTTTCGCTATAACTTTCATGTTTGTAAACATTTATATACAAAAATTTACAGCTGGGTACTATTTAATATCTGGAATTATAATTTGATGAATACTTTGATATAGCTAATAGAGGGCGCCACATATGCCACATACGTGGCATAAATTTACACTTAACTTTTTTGCTCTTTAAGCTACCGGTATTTAAAATAAAAAATATTAAAGATACATTATTTTAACAAAAAAAAAAGGTATAGTTGTTAATAACTTCAAAACTCAATAGTTTTCGAGATAATCGCATTTTACAAATCAACTGCATAATTCTGATTTAACGCAATTACTCCAGGCAATGAAAGAAAAATAGATAAAAACATCAATACTTCTGAATTTTGTTATAAAATACCTTAAAGTCAATAATTAACGAAATATTAAATAAAATAAATATATCAGCAAGATAATTAATAATAGGATTTGATAAAATAACAGAATAAAGGTCGATTCAGACACATCAGTCCCGTCATAGTCTCGGCGCCGAACCGGTCCTGTTTGGTCACAGAACTATCAACTATCTGACAGCTGAGAAACTGTTTGTCAACTGATGAGTGTGAATGCCGGCAACATATTTGTATTAAAGAATATTTTGTATGACGGATTGTTCGGTTCGGCGCAATCACTGTGACGAGACGTGACTGATGTGTCTGAATCGACCTTAATTGGATTTTACATCAAACATTTTATTTTAATTTGTATTAAATTAAAGTCATAATCAAAACATTTTATTTACAAACCAAATTAAGAAATAGTTAAACTAAATAACACTAAACTTTTTGTCAAAGTAAGTGTTCACTATGTCCACCATTTTCTTTAATTCATTTGTCAATACATTCCATAAAATATCGTCTCATATTAAATAGCGTCATTGCTATTGATGCTATAGATTCTAAAGAAACTAAATTCTAAATCCAACGTTCAGGAAAGTTTAAAGAAGTTTTTAAATACTGTCTCACTCCGCTTTCTCTGTAATGTAATGGTGTACCATCTTGTAGAAACCACATATTTCGCCTTAAGTTTGATGATAATTCTTCCAATAAATCAATAAAATCATTTTGTAAAGAATGTAAATAAATCTCACCATTCAAATTGAAAGGTAATTCGCATATCCGTAAAACATCATTCAAAATTGATATTTAAAATGCATTTCCTATGGTTTGAAACCATTGATAATTATTTTTTACGGATATGTGAATTGTCTTGCAATTTGAATAACGAGATTTATTTAAATTTTTTATAAAATGATTTTATTAATATATTGAAAGAATTGTCATCAAATTTAAGGCGAAATATGTGGTTTCTACAAGATGAGACAGTATTATAAAGCGGAGTGAGACAGTATTTAAATACAACTTTCCTGAACGTTGGATTGTTCATGGTAGTCTTATTCTTGTGGTGAGATATTAATATAATTATTTAATTCATAAACATTTCAAAAAATTATTTATTATTATTCTTATAACACTTATAATAAATACTGCAGCAGTTTCTTCAGAACCAATGACACCATTTAATATGAGACGATATTTTATGGAATGTATTGACAAATGAATTAAAGAAAATGATGGACATAGTGAACACTTACTTTGACAAAAAGTTTAATTTTATTTACTTTAACTATTTCTTAATTTGGTTTGTAAATAAAATGTTTTGATTATGACTTTAATTTAATACAAAACGTAAAATGTTTGATGTAAAATCCAATTATTCTGTTATTTATCAAATCCTATTATTTTATTCTGCTGATATATTTATTTTATTTAATAATTCATTAACTATTAACTTTATTAAAGGTATTTTATACCAAAATTCAAAAGTATTGCTGTTTTTCTTTAATTTTCTTTCGTTGCCTGGAGTAATTGCGATAAATCAGAATTATGTAGTTGATTTCTAAATTGCGATTATCTCGAAAACTGTTGAGTTTTGAAGGTATTCACAAGTACCTATACCTTTTTTTTTGGCTAAAATAACGTATCTTTAATATTTTTATAAGTTTTATTTTATTATACGTTTAATTGAAATCATTGACTAAAATTTGTATAGGTACAGTATGAACAACAAAACGAAATTACGATTTTCTCATTTTGTTTAAATGGATTACTCTTTACCACAGTTGTTTTGTTTCAACTGACAGTCATTGTGTTCAGTGAGTTGAATTTTAATAAAGATACTGTGATTTATTTGTGAAACTGTTAAGTCTGTCTTTCAATTCGGACACAACCTTATCGAACACGTGTCACAATATTAGAATCATTAGAATGCAATCAAATTATTATTATTAGCATTCCCCACAACATATCTAGTGGAGTAAGATTTTAGTTCTGTGTGTATATTGAAAAACAGGCAAAGAAATAGGCTCGACATAATAGAAAGAGGGGATTTGAGGTCGTTATTAACCTACATTGAGCCAAACATAAAGAAATTATGTGAGTGATACCAGGCCCAATGAAGCAATTAACAATTCTTTTACACATCTATAACCATTTATCATTTTACAAAATTTACGAAATGTAAAAATAAATAAAACCTTTTGTATAGATTCATTTTTTGTCTCAATTTAATTGGGTGGGGGATGGGGATTGTAGTATTCATTACTGGTGAAACCTGTCTAAGGGGGCGATCATGAAAAAAGGTTGGGAACCACTGGTATAACATAATGGAATTATCGACCAATGTCGCACAAAAAAACTTACCCTGTATATGAGAGAAGTATATAGTGTTGTCTAATTATTGCTATTTGGTTGTACTATGGAGACGTAGATTTCGTTGGTTAGTAATGGAAGACAAAAATTTACAAATGACGTATTTAATATGAACCCTATTAGCGCCAATTCCCATTTTTCTAAATTCACAAAAAAAAATTAGTACCGACATTTATTAGTTGTGCGTACGTTGAAACGATTGTCGTTAATAAGTAATCTAATATTTGTTTAAATTCATTGTCTTTATTTTTAAATAAAATATTTAAATTATTAAAACCTAGTCGATTAACATTTTCCCCCCATATATTCTATCCTTTTTAAACATTCATAGTTGGCGTATGTTTATACACTCATGGACAAAAATATTGGATATTTTGGAATTTTCCATTTTTTTTTGTAATGACTACAGTTCAAAACAATTTTAGATTACTGATGACTAGACTTCGGCAAATATGCAAATAAAAATGTAGAAAATATGCGCATAAATATGCACGTGTTTACCCGAAAATATGCAAATATTTTACAAAATATGCATACAAATAAATAAAAAAATCGTAAAATAGTAACAATTTTATTTAAAAAAAAAGTGTACATAACTAAATATTTACTACTATTCATTAAGATTTACATTTATTTTAAGTAACTACATCATTTTTACGTATAAATAAACTTATTTAGAATTATGGTAACAATAAATGACCAAGTGGTGTTCAAAATTTTCTAACAAAAACTTGTGGCTTCTGTCTGAGTACATATATTTATATATGGAAAAACTTCGTTCAACATCAACTGATGTAACGGGAGCATTTTTCAAACTAACCAAAACATTTAGTTCTAAATTAATTGTTTCCGAAATATTTCCAGCTAGAACACTGACTACTTCAGAAAGAATATGGTAACCTTTATTTTTTTCCATAGTAGCTTCAAATTTTTTCAAAATATCTTTTCCAATATTACCTCTAACGTTCCGACAACATGACGCAAATTCTTTTATTAATGCTGTACTTTCGAACAATGACAGTTTTGGTGATTCTAACTGAGTAATTGTTTTTTGAACAAAACTAAAATTTGATTTTATAAATGAAAGTTCTTGTTGAAGCAAGTTACTCTGAAAAGTTTGTTTAGAATCCAAAAGAGATTGGGAACTTTCATCTGTTAACGTATCAATTATGTTCTTTATTTTAACAAAATGATCTGCATAAAAATTAGCTGCTTCTAACCATGTTCCCCATCGCGTTAAAATAGGTTGTGGTGGAAGAGGAATATTAAGTAGCATTTCTTTATAAAGTTGAATTCTTATAGGAGATTTAACAAATACTTTTTTGACACTGGATATCATGGTATTTACAAGAGGAAACTTTTTTCGTATTTCCTCTGCAACTCTGTTTAATCCATGCGCTACACAAGTAACATGTATTAAATCTGGGAAAAATATTTTTAAATTTTGTCCTGCTTTCACCATATAAGGAGCAGCATCCG